CCTGCTTAATGCTCTAAAACCCGTCAGGTTTCACGTTTTGTTCTCCACAAGTGCAATGAGTTACAGTGGCATCAGTTTCCTTCAGGAGCACCCACGGCGTCCCGCACCGACAGCTGGCCGTCTGTCCTTCAGCGACTTCCGTCTGCTCGCTCCTCTCCGCCGTCCCTTCACGTGCAGCGCTTGCTTCCCTTCCTTCTGCACTGCCGATACCAGCCTCCCGTACCGACAATGGATCTCCTCATCCGCCAGACATCATCCACTTAGGCTGCCTTTTTCTGTCCCTCTGGAGAAGCCCCTTCCTCTCTCCCCAACGCGTCCTCGTGCTCATTTTGCAAGTAACTCAAACTTAACAGAACCGAGACAAAACGTTACCACCTCCTCAACGCTCTCCCCAGCCGCCTTTCTCCCCCGCTGACGACACAGCAGAACACCCTGCCGCCTGCACTCACACCCAGGCCTGGGGTCTCCTTTTTGACTTAGCTTCTAATTCCTTACATCCAAGCAGTATTTCAAACTCTGATTTTTCCGGTAGGCTCTGCCCAACAAGGAAGAAATACCCGTAATTATTTACAAAGCAGTCTGGAGCTTTGTGCATTAGCCAGCCATGAACGCCCACCCTTTGCTCTACCGCCTACCAAAAATAAATACCTGATAACTGAGAAAGACAAACCAGCGCTGTCCCACTGCCTAGCACAACACCTACGCGGTCCCACCTCCTCATTCAGCTGTGCGTAGACATCTGCCCAACAGCAGCACAGAAAAAAAATAACTTTTCTTTGTGTTCTTAAGGCACGGAGGTGACAGCAGTAGGACTGTCAGCACCGTGACAAAGACGGCAGAAGTTAAGTGGTCCACGTGAGACCTAGCTGTTCAGGGGGAGAGTTACAAAAATATCATACCTACTGCAAAACAACAAATTTGCCAACGGCCAAAAAGCTGAAGAATCATTTTTAGCAGATCTTGTCCTCCTGAGCCCCGTATTATCCATTGCCGTTCAAAATATTCTACAGGAAATTTCACGCAATGACCAGAATAAGCATTTCTAATGAAAAGTTACGGGAAATTCTAGCACTCCTGAGATAAAGGTAACGGAAAGTACTTACCCTGTGTTTGGTACAAATGTAGTGTCAAGAGCCACCTTCAGTCCTTCAGCCAACTGCAAAGAAAACCAGAGGTGTCTGCTCAGAGCCCAACAGAGTGGCGTGCTCAGAGCCCTGCTGAACCACCATCCGTTACATGCCACTACTAGAGCTCTGCTGCCTCCCAAAGAGAGGACAAACCACGACCGTAACGCCTCCCACGTCTTCTACAACGCAATCTGAAGATGCTGCGTGATGAGGGATTAAAATCTGGACTGTTTCTCCCCACAACGCGGCCCTGTAACAGCGCACGCTTCGTAGATCCGTTGTTACAGGAAGATTTCAAATCTCGTGTTGACAAGAAAATTGAGAAACTGTTAAAGAAAGAAAACGGTTCCGTGCATGTTTGCTTATTCCCTGTAGTTCCAACATAGCTCAAGGCTCTCTCAGAATCTACAGGCATTCTTACAAGACACGGTAGGACTCCGCAGGCCAAACCCTGTGCCTGCCTCGGCGTTCCCACCCTCGTTTTCAGCCGGACAGCGTTTTGCATTTTAAAGCACGGGTAAAAGTGCAAAACCGTAACTACAAAAATTGATGGCTGTGCACGGCAGAGGGCACCACGGGACTTTTGCTACTTCTGGCACCGTTCCCTTACACTTCAGGCACTAAGTGAAAAGCGTAACGCTATCACTTGGGAAAAGAATTGCGTGTTCTGCGAGCGCTATATGCTCGTAGCCCTTTGCGTAAGCCCTGCTACGCTGCAAACACCAATCTGTCTCTTCAACCTTACAAAACATATTCAATCTCAAGGCAGCCAAACTTAAGTCCTCATGCATTAGAGGATTTAAAACTACGAGAGCCCTCTTTTCTTTTCCCTGCAGGGCCGCAGCAGTGACAGTTCTACATAGCTAAAGTGCATCTTTAAACAAACCCTCCTATTTGGGGTGGATAGCCGTCATATTCGTTCAACCAGCTAGCTAATTCCACGTGCCCGTAACGGCAGGAACTCCGTACCTTTGGATCGGCATGAGCAGCCCACTGCTGTGGGAACGCTTGCAGCCCCCACCCCCAAAATTCACGATGCTCGCTCTCAGTCTGTGCGTTCTGCAAACATAACTTCTTTCTTTTCACTACTCCGGGCAGTTTTGTGCAACTTCCACTCTTCAGGGCTTTCTGCTCAACTCACTACTGTCTCACTGTTCACTACTCGCTCTCACTACTGTTCCACTGCAGGAACACTTTCCGAGTATCTGCCTCCTCTTACCTGATCCTCCACGGAAACTTCTGTTCCCAGCGTGTTGTCTGTGTTCCACTTCTGGGTGAACGTAAGCCCATAGTCTTTGATCTTATATTTGGTCTCTAGACTGCCCGAAGCCTTGCCTGTGTCTGTGTTGGAAGAACCAGTTGCGGTGAATTCCTGCCGAGAGCACAACAGGAGTTTCAGCACTCTGATATTTAATTACATTCAGTTTTTCCACTTGCCAAGAGCCAGCACTCACACTTGCTACCCTTAGGCCTTTCGACAGAACCCTCAAAATCCTCCTCCTCTTCCCTGTCCCCACCAAAAATAATTGTTTTCGCATCACAAAATGCTGCTCCTTTTGGCACCTCCGTTCTGGGTATTTCTTTCATTGAGCCGTGCTGAGCCCCTGGGACTTGCTTAGGCTGGGAGAAGCACGCGTACACAAAGACCTGGCATCTTCACTCGTTTTTCACCTGCATCATGATTTGATTACCTGCTCCCCCCCTCTAATTTTTACCACACTTTTTTTCCTAACTTATCCACCAACCTCCCCACCACCAAAAAAACCTTTTTCCACCATCTTTTTTCCGCTCCGAAGTGGCAATTGTTATTTCAGCATTCCACAGCTTGCTCTGGGCCTTCGCATGCATCCATAGCCAGATACAAAAAGATACTCGCTTGGGATACAAAGCTCCTTGTATCCTTGGATTTTCCCTCACAATCCTCCTCTAATTCCCCTTACCATCTTACCAGTACTGTCCCAGTTGTGCATGAAACAGCACCCGTTACAGTCCTGCTGGAAATCCACTCTCCCTTAAGAAAAGCAATCCTACATCCAACTTACGCTGCTAGATGAACAGCAAAAAAAAAAAGACAGACTGATTTTTCTCTCATTTCTTCGAACACCTCGTGTGTTTCTTCCTTTTTTTCTTTTTCCACCTTTCAGCAGTGAAAACGTCTTCTGGAGAATGGTCACTGAGGCTTTTCACACCAACGACTGCACCCTCACGTTGTTGTTCCCCCCACCCTTCCTACTGTTGTCACGCAGACTCTTCGTGTACCGTGCTGATGACTTCAGTACCTTCTCCCTCGACCTAACGTCTCTGGCATTGCCTCAGCCAGCAACTGCGCTTCAGAAGCTAGGTCACCCCTCTGTACGGCACCTTAACGTTGTAGACCTTTTCTCCTTCACGCTACCAGAAAACACCCTGACCCCAGCGGCACCTCGACACCTCTCCGTCAGGCTGCTCCTTCGCTGACCGCTGTAACTGAACCAACAACTTTGAACTGTGTGTACTATGTATCTGTGCTGCTGGGCCGGTCCCCCACACCTCAGGGCCTTGACGTCTCAACGAACACCTCTCCTCCTGGCGTAACTCAGAGGCAGCCTCCGGGGTGTTCCGTGCACAGAGCACAAAGCAACGAGTAGGCATGTTTGCGCGGCAGTAAGCTCAAGGTGTACGAGCTGGGTTTTAAGAAGCATCTGAGAACCGATCGCATGTCAGTTGTCCTCATCTCTCAAATATTTTCCTTGAAGATAATTAATCTGCCATTACACTTCCAAGTTATGCCTCTTTTGAAGTTTAAATATTGAAAGATACAGTGCTTAAGAGATGGCAGCGTCCATTGCCAACACATCCAAGCTCTGGAATCCTGACTTTCCAGATCCGTCTCATTCCAGGACGGTATTCCTGGGTGCTGCGTACGTTACTTTCACAATTCTGGACTTTGCTGAGTGTACAAAGACTGTCTTTAAATGGTTCTGAAGTGCCAGGGAAGCACAGCCAGGTAACGTTCCTTACACACCGGGGGGGGAAGACACTCCCTCGAGCTAACGCGGTACTACAACGGCACAGCAGCCGTGTAACACATCCAGCCAGCTAACAAAAACACGTCACGCAAGTCAGGACGCGTTGGACTGTCCCTTAATTGCTCCACGCTGCCCTAACGTCGCTTCCACAAATTCAGTGCAAAGACATCTCAAACCTGCATCAGAATTCAGAAGTAACTTCCTTCTGACCTCAGGGCAGGTAACTGACTGAAAGGGCTTGGTTTGTTTCTCGGGCCAAGCAGAAGAAAGACTGTAAAATGGTTTTCTCACAGCCAAGGGAAAAAAACCCTGCGCTGTCGTATGATCAAAAGGCAAAGGATTCTGCCGGGTGTCAGAACCAGATCTGCTTCTGGAGGCAGAAGGCACACGGTCAGCATCCGCTGCCACCAAGCTTTAACTGTCTGAACTAGAGCCCTCTCATCAAACCACCTTGTGTAGGAGCGCTTCTTGAATTTTTGGTAGCTGAAAATCAAACTCATTCCGGCTCCAAGTCGCACCCCGGTCTGCATCAGCAGTCAGCTCAGCTTCTCGCTGACCTCCCAGTTTACAGTGGCTGGCCGCTACGGGACCGCCACGCGCTTCCTAGGCCGAGCCACTTGCAGTCCTTGAAACAATTCCGACCGACAGCCACTGCCCCCGTTGTTTTCTCAGTCCGTAGGAAAACCACCCAAAACATTTCTGCATCGCAACGATCAGAGGTACTATTAGTACCCAAGGATGAGTTAGACCTCACGCTTCGTTCCTCACCTCGTCTCCATCCCCAAGCCCCATTTCGTTGCAGCAGAATGCCCATTAGAAACACTTCACAAGCACAAAACCTGAAGCAACAGACAACTACATCAATACCGCATCCATCTTGTTTCCCCTCCTGCTGTTTTTAGTGTTCTTATTGTGGATTGTTGGACAAAGATTGCAAATGGCTGTACGTACATGGATCACACAGCAGATTAAGAGCTACGGACACAGTCAAACGTCATGACATGGACGATAACATGACTAAAACCAACAGAACAGTTTACGAAGGACAGTATGCACCACAGCAAGCCTCGCCAGACACAGCAATAACGAGCCAACATGCCGAAACAGTCACTGTTCTTACCAGCTGGATACACATCCAACACGAAAGTTGCATGGAAAAGGAAAAGCCCGTTTTAGAACTTCGTACGGTTGTTTGTGTCCCATCGCATTCAGAAGACAGCGTAATTAACCATTAGCATATTATCTGAGAATCAAAGCTTCCAGCCAGGAAAACTACGCACGTCATGGGATGTCAGTAACTGGTAGCAGTCGCAGTACTGAGACCCCATAGTTCCTCGTGCCTACGCGTTCCTGGCGCACAATGCAAGCGACCCATCAACAGCTCGACTGAGACCAAATGCAGTAATCCAAAGGGAAGGACTTACACCACTTGCGTGAGAAGAACACGAGAGGAGGAGGCAGGGTCGGTTACGAAGCAGGCTGAAAAGCAGCACCGTTTATCAACCAGAACAGCGTCAAGTGGTAGCACGCACAGAACTGAGGCTCAGTGGAAGAACAAGCTTCTCTAGTAAACAGTACGTGCCTCTGCTTCGAGGCCAGAATTACGAATCTCTCCCTGGTTTTGCCAGCCCTCCTGTGAAATCATGCGGAAGCTCCACTTCTCCATCATTAAAGTGGGGATCATGGTATTTTCTAGTTACCTGAAGTGCTAAAGCTTAATTAACGTCTATAAAATGTTCTCAAATTCTACATAAAGGGTACTGCAGGAGGACCACTGAGTTTTAGTCAAGTCTTGCATTGGAAGCACGGAGGAGATGGGTGAAAATGAAGTTAAACCGTGTTCTTATTTGCCCCTTGGTCTTTTGGATAACAAGTCAGTCTGGACTCAAAATCCTATAAAAACCAACAACAGCAGAAAAACTCAGTTGCATTCGTAAGCAGAAATGAGAGCTATTTAGGGCAAAGAAACTCTTCTGTTTGGGATGTGGCAACGGGAACCGGGAGGAAAGCCCCGCGTCCACAACAAAAGGTGTGAAAATCCTTGCCCGCCGGGGGAAAAGCAGCACCGCTACGCCAGCCCCACGCAGCGTTACAGAAATACCTCCGTCAGCTACGGGTTTTAAAATGAGAACTGAAAGAGAAGCGACACCTGCTAGCAAGCGATTACCACCAACCAGTTCAGGAATTTGTCCTCCCGCTGCACTACCGGTGATGTTGAAAGCCCCCGGTACTTACCACCCCACTGGAAGACTTGGTCTTCAGCTCTAACTTGACCATTCCAAACCCTGAAAAGAAACGAGCACACAGCGTGTGTATCGCCGCAATATACAGGCAAGGCTTATTGCCAACCCACCCCAAGTGCGGCAGGTAGGACACACTGACCCGAAACAGCCTGTTTTCATATTTCAACAGTTGTTGACCGTACTGAGGAATGACTGAAGGAATTTTGACAATTCAAAGCGGGTGCCCTCATAATTTATAGTCCTAACAGTCACCCGTCATCAAGTATCTCCACCTTCCGTAGCTACCTGCAGTCTGGGACCAACCAATACAGCTACCATTTCTTCCGATTTACTCATTTTACTTTCATATTTCTGACTGCAGGGCAGGAATTTTTCTTTTCCCCTTCTCCAAGAAAAATATGTTTCAACTTACTTCAACTAGTGCTGTGTACAGAGATACTGCTGCGTTCTTCCTTTTCTTTCTAACCTGCTATGAATCCAGGGAAACGCCCGGCCCTTCCACAGAGCAGAAAAGCCCGGAACAGCTGCCACTAAAGCAGGGAACCTGAGGTGACTTTAGCAAAGCCTGAACCGCCGGGCGCAGAGGCCAGGCCAGGGTGCTTTCCAAGGCTCTGTGGCACATGGATTCGGGATACAAATGCAATCTTTGTTACACACGCACAAAGCCAGATAAAAAACGTCAACGCTTTTAGTACTGCTCGCAGAAAAGGGACTAATATCAGAATTTCTAAATTTGAATTCTTTAAAAGAGGAACTGAAATAATAAAGATCATTCTGCCTCAGGAACCTGTCTGCTGCCACATATGGTCTCCTATGCCAATCTACCCGAGTTTGACTGACTTAATGCCTCTAAATACAAAAACTGGAAGGTAAAAACAGCAGCACTCTTCACAGATGGTTCTGGAGTGCATCTCAAGGTCAAACTCATAACTTCCCCCTCTAACTCTTTGCCTACTGCAGCACTTTCATGATATCATGTCTAAAGTTCAAACTCGGAAGGGGCTGGACGCTCCGGGCCTCCGCTGAATTCCTACCACAAGGTGTTCAGGGGATCGCTGGGGCACCCATGTTTTCATTGTCACTTTCAAGACGCCTGAGTAAAAACACAACAGGTTATCAAACCACGTTCTCGTCACTTACCGTATCCCTTGTTGAACACATCCCTGGCAGACTTTCCCAAGTCGCTGTATGATGGTGGGACAGCCATTGGATCTGAAACATATCGGAAGCTGTAACAATCTTAGGTTTAACAGCATAAAATCTAAACTACATCCAAAGCGTTTATAAATGTCTACGGCTAGTACACGCTGCAGGCTTCACTGATACGGAGCCGCAAGACCTTTGAAGAACGTTCATAGAAGTCATCCTGGTGCCATCGCTGCTTTGGCAGAAACAAACTTCAATTCAAAGAAGCGACGAAAGCCAGTCCGCTATTTGGGAACACTAAACCCCAGGACAGGACGTTCAGCCGCGTGCGTAGGCCTCGCGCTCTCACCCTGCAGAAAGAGCTGACGGGAGCCGTATCACTGAACGCCCCCAAGGGACAAGATACCTGACTGCCACGCGCACCCGCGACTTCTTAGAAAGCTTCTCCAGAGACTTCTAAAATACAAGAAGAGCTCTCTGTGTGCTGCCCAGCAGCCGCCAGGGAGGATTTCTGCCCTGTGTATACACAGCAGCAAAATCTGCTTTTTCTAACACAGGTAACTTACAACTGTTTTGGAGGACCAAACCTAAAAGGACGGGCACGTGATATTACAGCTTACGTGACATATTTAATGTTAGTTACCACAATTTAGGGATTTTGCATCAGAAAATCCACATTAAAAGAAGTAGGCAAACTCTTCCCCAGTGGAAAACTAGTCTTCTCCTTCTAGAATAAGTTTGCATGAATGCAAAGGCACACCTACTCCAGAAAAGAAAAACTACCAAAGCTGATGCTTTTGTTTGATTTTAAGGGCAACTCTTTGCCACTTAACCCTTCCCACAGCTAATGCACTTGTTGATATTCTTCTCTGCAACACCCGGCGCCAGGAATCCCCGATCCCCCATTTGTTACTTCCACCATACTGAAAGGCCAATCCAAAAAGTAACAATGCGAGCAAGACGTGTAAAATCCCTGAAGCCATCGCTTCTCCTCCACCATTTCAGTTGCTTACCGCGTGCTCTTGCTTACCGTCCCTCTGTCACACAGGCGGCGGTATCGGCATTAAGCAGTATTTTTTCAGACAGCTAGCCCTTTCCCAAAATGAAGCGCTGGGGCAATTTACCTCCCGTAGCAGGCAAACGCTCTACGTCCAGTGACTTCATAGCTAACCTGCGCTTTTCATCTACCCATACACGGACTCGATGAGCCTTACGGGTCCCTTCCAACTCGAGATGTTCTATAATTCTACAAATATATACCTGTGGGTTTAGAGGATCTAAAATAGCTGGCCATGACTGCAGGTTCCTTATCTGAAGATTAGCGCATAAAGCAGGTACTTCGCAAAATTACTACGTAAAAAGGCCTTTGTACCTGTCAACACGGAGGGAAAAATTACAATCAGTGAATCATTAAACTGACAAAAGAGAAACAGAACGTGTACTTTTATGACAGCGTAGTTTAAATTGTAATTACAATAGTTTCAGCAACGCAGCTACGGAGCAGAGTATATCTTCATTTTAAAACATTGGCTTTTCACACAAATCTCTCAATTCAGAAGTTTCAACTCATAAGTTAAATTTGGGGTTTGGGGTTTTTTTTTTGGTTGGTTGGGTTGGGGTTTGGGGTTTTTTTGTTGTTTTGGTTTGGTTTTTTTAATAGGTTTGTCAGGATAGTTCATCCTGCTGATTTCAAACGCTTGGTAACTCAAGTTTTTGGAGCAAGGCTGATGCTTGGGCATTTTAACCTGGCGATGCTCTACGTACGCAGTAACTGCCTAACGGGCTCTCGAACCTCAAACGTTTTTTCCCAGCAAAAACCAACATGAAAGCTAACTCCCTGCATAAGAATTCATACAACACACAAGCAGATTCGTTTCAAAAACGCTCTTTAGTCACAGCCGGCTTTCGGGGAACTGTCCAGCTGTTGAAAACGTGCCAGGAACGCGCCATAATCATCGGGATCTGTAGCTGGCCTCCAAACCACATAACCTCTTTTCAACGAGAAGGTTGACGACGATCCGCGGTGAGCCACAGCGCGTTCTGGGAGCTGGGACTGACCTGGTTAGAGGTTAGAAGACATCGGTCTGCTCTAACTTTCAAACGACGTGGAGATGTCACATCAAACGAAAGCAAGAGCTTAGTTACCAACCCTCCGCCCGTTCCCGAGAGCGTGCCGCACCCTGAGCTCCAGGCGCTGCCGGCTCTCTCAGCTCTTCCCACCGGCCTTCGAGTAAAGGAGGGCCTTACCCTCCCGTCGGCACCTTCTCACCCTAAATCTCACCTTTCGGCTGACGCCCTGCTCTGCTTTCATTGTCTTAAGGCTACTGAGACATCCTGAACACTGTCGGCCTCTTCCCTCTCCTAACAGCTCTCCTCTCTTTACACGATACAGCTGTATCGTCTGTATTCTATGTGTTTTAATGCTTATGTTAAATATTATGCGAGTATTTAAACAGCGTTCTTAAAAAAAAGCCCAAGGTAAATTCTCTGCTAAAAACAAGCAGCTCCGCTTGCAAGCCAGAGCTGTTCAGAGGAGGCGAGCTCACAGTTCCACAACCAGTAACGCGAAATTGGAACCGGTCTCCATCAACCAGATGCGATGACAACGGCTGACAGAACACAAAGTAAAGCGGGAAGAGAAACGTTAAAGGCAGGGATCTGGGACTAAGCCACAGCACTCATTCTAAGCACCCCGTTTTTAAACGAAGCCTCCTTAATCTCGTGCTTTGACGTTCCCTCCCACAGCAATAAAAGCAGCACAACGACCACAAAAATACATCAAGGAATAAAAGGCCGGGGGCAACCGATGCTTCACGTTGCCCTCTTCAGACACAGCGCGCAGTCAGCCAGCGCCTGGGCGCGCGCTGCAAAGAGGTAACCCGAACTGGAAACGTCAGCGAAGACGCGAAGGTAGGACTGTTCCGTCGGTCTACGGAATAACTGCAAAAACCCCCGAACTAACCGCGCAGAAGAAGGTCAAAGGAGCAGGACCGCCGGCTCCGTCAGCTCCCTCAACTCCTCCAGCTCCGGGGACCAGGACTACGACTACCTTAACGACTGGGGGCCCAGGTTCAAGAAACTGGCGGACATGTACGGGGGAGGCGAGGAAGATTAAACTGACCTCACGTTATTTAAAATAAAAAAGAAAAAGAAGAAGAAGTAAAAATAAACAATTTAAAAAAAAAACAAACCCACAGACGACAACATTAACAAAAAGAGCTGATGCAGAAGCAAGAACTGTACAGATGTGGCAGCTTTTTTAATTAATATCCCCTGCTGACTGTATTGTTATTTTTAGTGGTGATATAGGAGGTTTCTTTTTTTTCCTTTTTTTTTCCTTTCCAATTGTTTTTTTTAGAATATTGAGCTGTCTCGCATGAACACTTGTCTCTGCTGCAGGTTTTTTTTTGTTGTTTTGGTTTGGTTTTTTTAATGTCAGCTGGGATATTGCTCGTTTATCTGCTTTATGACTAAAGAGAGTGAAAGGCACTCTGTCTTAACTTGAATTTCTTAGAACAGAAGCACTGTTTTTAAAATATATATATATATATATTTGAAAG